CAGCATTAGTCTTGCTAGGCCATTATTTAACCATCACATGGTGCCCTCGTCTTCTCTCTCAGATGCCTTCTGGAAAGTGGAGCCAGTGGCACCAGACATATTTCCATTGGGGCGTCAAGGGGAATCAGTAACAGCAGACAAGCAGCAGGCTAACCCTGCTGTGAGAAGTGATGTCATTCAGTTCTATCTATAAGTGAATTCAGGGTCCAGTGAGCCTTTTGAGGTGAGAAAAGTAAGTTTCCAACTTGGCATTTTCTCAGTATTTACTAGCTATATGTTAGATACTATATAAACATGAAATTCAGACTATTGGGTTTACCCAATGGATTACAAATTAGTCAGGCTGAGGAGGAGTAGCATGATAATGGTGTAAAGCATACCTTAGGGAAAAAAGTTACAGGGCTAGGGAGGGGAGAGCCACTGTCACAGAATAATTGTGGTAACGCTGTCCAGAGCACCTGAGGTGTCACTTAGCATGTCCTGGGCCTTGTAGGAGGTTTCTTGTGAGCAGTCCTAGACCTTTCGGGAAGTGTCCTGTGAGCAGACCTTACCCTTGTATCAAGCTCACTGCTTTGCCCCCAACACCAAAAACAATGTTTACTTCGTAGATACGCAAGGAATGTTTGGTGACTGATAATGTGGAAATGCAGGTCAGAGAACTGAATTGATGTGATCGAGGTCACATTGGGGCCCACCTGATTCTAGAAAGATCTGTTGATTCTTCATTCTTTACCAAATCAAGGCAGTTCCTAGAAAATGAACATCTACAACAGATGAAGCCTTCTGCGCACTGACTTCTTACCCTGCCCACAGTATTTCCTCTTCCTATGTGAAAAAACTAAGTAAACCCATTGATTTCATGTCTAAAATGCAAGTCAAGAGACATAAATTGTTTTCAGTTCCCTCACTCCTTTTATGATTGAGGCAAATTATTAAACCTGTCCAAACTTGGTTTCTTTGTTCCTTTCAGTTCTCACAGCCTGTAATTCTGGTTTCATAATGTTAATGAATTAATAAGATCATGCATGAAACGTATGTCCGAATAACCTTGTATGAGTGTTCGTGAAGTGCTGGTGGCACATTGCCCCTATGAAAACCACCTGGGCTCCTTCAAACATGTGGGTTTTGCCATTGTTAAAAATAATTACACGTGCAAGGGGCCTTTACAAAGCTTGTGGGAAAATGGAATTACAGTGTGAATGTATTTTGGTGTAAAGCAGATTTGAAATCCATGCATTTTTTTTAATAATATGCATTTTTCTGTGAACATTTTTTTTTTTTTGGAGAGGTTTTTGCTATAGGGCGCGTGCGCTCGCCAGCCAGACAGAGAGAGACAGAGAGACAGAAAGTGAGAAACCACCCCCCAGGGGGGATGGCCACGCCACAATCCCTTCTCCTCCATTCTCCTCTTGGGATCTTGGGCACGCACGCACACGCGACAGGCATGAGTTTTAAGCCACCGGGTCCGGGATGGGAACCACAGTCGACTACATGGGAGTCCAGTGACATAGCCATTATGCTAACTGCTGGTCCCTTTCTGTGAACTTCTTGAAGACTCCTTCATATAGATTTTGATTTAGAGGGTTTCCCATTAGGTCATGCATTCTGAATTTTCACCTATGGTGGTCACAGTATACATAAGAGTGGTGTTTCTGTGGTGTACCAGGATAAGAAACTTTAGGCTGTCTCTTTGCCAATGTACATCTCACTGGGAAACTGTGTTGTAAGTATCACTGGATCAGGAAAAAAGTTGCAGAAAAATATGTATTATGATTCCACTTTTTCACAGTGCCAAAACTCAAAATGCATGTATGTTTCTGCATAACTATGTATTACATGTTTGTATATGATTCTGTGGGCATCACAGTATGTGGATGCAGATACATAATACTATAAACATATCGGAATAAGGCCAGCTCCGTAACACAGCACTTAAGTCCCATGCATAGGGAGCCAGATACCACAAGGCTGGCCACAGTTTGAATCTCAGCCCTGGTGGCATGAGAAAGACTCCAGGAGTGGAGTCTCCAGTGTGGGTATGTATGCCCCAAATCCTGACTGGCTGGAGAAATGGAAAGAAAGAAAAAGGACTGGAATGTGACCTTGCCCCATTGTGGTTGCTTTCTCTCTGCAAGTGCATGAGTCTTCTAGTTAAAAAAAATAAATGAAGAAAGAAACATACAAGGTTGTTAACAGGAAAAGAGAAAAGACAAACAATTAAAAACACTCTTTAAAAAGCTGAAAAAATTGGTAAGTATGCAGGTAAATATGGCTTTCTATATAAATACACTTTAAAAGGGCAGGTCCGGGGCCTCTCCTTGAAACACCTTAAAGCAGAATCTAAAAGGTAGGAAGTGTGGAGAGGTAGGTGTATGCATCTGTAACAAGTATTCCAAGTGATTCTGTAGCAATGAACCCTGTAAACCTTTGTATTAGGCGCTAATAGCATCAGCTGTCAACAGCACAGTTGGAAATTTCCATTCTGCAATGCAGGCTCAGCCCATTCTGGTTGTCTTGGAACATAGTAGATACATAATAAATAGCTGGTGAGTGTCTGAGTCATTTGGAGGACAGGTGGAGAGAGTGAGGGCTAAAGCACTTACAGAAACACACCAGTGAGCAAGTTTAAGCTCAGAAGGATGAGAAGCTCCCAGTAGGAACAATGGACTTGGTCCCCTTGTCATTTTCAGACATGCAACCAATACTCGTTGGGGCACTAAATACATGTAGGGCATTTTTTTCTAAATTCCAACTCCATCTATTCTTAAATAACCCTTTACAGACTTAGAGGCAAAGTGAGTAAGTAGCACATAGAAGTATCAGAATTGGGACGCAATCTTGACACACGTATGGAGCGCTAAGTTCCGTACCAGGCACCAGGCAGCTGCTGAACACAATAAACGCATCCTTTGCTCTTTTTCCTATCTAGAATCTGCCATGATCATTCTCATATGTTGTCACCAGGTGACAATCTTAGCTGGTCGCCTAGAAGCAGCTGCCCTGTCCCATTCCAGCCTAGATCCAATCAAAGGGAGATTACAGTAAATGTGCTTTTTGTGCATCATCTCTAGCTTGTGTTTTCACGGTGGGGAGAGAGGATTTCCCGGGTGACTCTGCACAGTGCAAGCCCCCTAAAGGCCAAGGAAGAAAAACTTAGATCCTCCCAAGCCTTAGGCACCCACCAACTCAAAATAATTCTGACTCTTCGTCCCTTTGATCCAAACGCTTCTCTGTAAGGGTGGAAGAAAGCTCAAAGTGAGGAAAGTGACTCCTCTCAATAAATTGAGGGGCGGGGCAATGAATGAAACAAACGAAGTCCTTACACATATATTTTTCGAGACTCTTATTCTTGGTGTTGGGACGAGAACAGGAAATAAAGTCAAGAAGCATATACTTTGCACGCAAATGCCTGGAAGTACACAAAAACAGGAATTTTCGTCTTCCGCTACCATTAACTTGCGGCCCTAGCTCTCTGGACTCCGGCATCCTCTCCCTTCCACCCTCGAACTCCCACCATTTCCCCGAAAGTAACCGTGGTGTAGATATCCGGGGGTGGGAGCAGGGACTGCACGGTGGCACAGAATCTCATCTCTTTCCCAGACCTCCTAGTATAAATCGGGATTAGCAAAACCAAGGTTGCGCTCCGTGATTTAACAGCAGCCTGGACTCCGAGGGACCGGAAGCGGGGAGGCTGGGTTTCCCAGGTGGGGTGTCGGGTGCTCCCAATTTATGAGCGCCGGGGACCCGGTACGTGGTCTTCGGAGCTCAGAGTGGCGGTGTCTCCAGCTTTGCAGCCGCGTACGGGGAGGAAGCGTGGCCGAGAGCCACTCCTTCCCCAGGTGCCTTGCAAACTGGCTGGTGGGGTCGGCGTGCGTCCTTCTTTGCCACAAAGCGCCTCGAGCGCCAGTCACACCCGGTCCCGGGGAATCTGCCCCGAGGTTCCCAGCGGTCGGGTCCGGCCGGAAGCGCCGTTCCTCGGGATGCGGAATCTCCGCCCCGCCCTGGGCGCGTAAGACCCGGCACCTCCGCTCTAGGTTCCCGGCTCCCTCCGCCCCTGCGCCCTCCTCGGTCCGCAGGGGGGCGGCGGCCTCGCCTCGTCTCTGTCTCTGCGCCTGGGTCTGCTGGGTGACGCGGAGCGCCACAGAGATGTCGGATTTCGACAGTAACCCCTTTGCGGACCCGGATCTCAACAACCCCTTCAAGGTGAGCCCCGGCCCCGCATCCCCGCGCCGCGTCGTTGTTTGTGAAAGCAGGCGAGTGCCTTCGCTACCACTGCGCCCGCCTGGCTCCCCTCGGCAGCCCCCGGGG